AAAGGCAGTTTTGAAAATGGTCTAAAATTTTGTGGTAGGGAGGGATCTAAACCAGGTTTCTTTAAAAGTGGGTTCACGCAAGCCGTTTTAAAATAATCAGGGACACAACCAGTAGATAGGGAATAAAATAAAAGAGCTCCTGCAGGCTGCACGAAAACTTAGGGCGAACAGCATGAGCAGATGATGATCTAGACTTAGAGTAACATGTGACCAAGGATATGAACCCAAAGGCCAGCAAGTCACCATATGTAGAAGTGGAACATGGTCCTCTGTGCCGGTCTGTGAGAGTAAGTCTGCTGTACCAGTAAGCTGTAAAACTAACCAGAATAATTACTGTGCAACATTATACCGTATACTGTATTTATCAAGTCAACAGGTAAAATACGCAGAACGATTTTAGTTGACATTACAGAATAACTTACGTTTCTTGGAGGAGCCAGACCAACTATTGAACATGGTGGATCCACAGTGGGAACAACAGGTTGGGAGGACACTGAACAAGGTGGGGGAACAAAACCTGGGGGTTTATTTGTCTGTATTAAATATAAATGAGTATATTCATTTATTTAATTCCATTTTAGAATATGTATATATTGTATATCTAATTTATTTTCTTATTCCCACTTAGGCAGAGGAACTGAAACAGGTGCCGTAGGAGGTAGATTATTGACATTGATTGTATTATAGAAGATATATATATATATATATATATATATATATATATATATATATATATATATATATACTGTATATTATTGTAAATTTAATAATCATTGATTTAAAGGTTAATCTACTTTACATTAAAATCTTTAATTTTCAAAAAGAATAATGGGGAAATTGTTTTGACATTACTCTGAATCAGAAAGAAAAAGAGTCCAAATAACATGCTGAAGTGTTACTAACTGGTGTGTCTTCTGTTCTGTGTGTATACCTTTATCTCCTCTGCATCTTACAGGATCTTCTGCCACCTCTGGCTCAAATGACAGAGACAGTCAACGTGCATTCATGTCAAGTAAATCATTCAGATCAAATGCTCCTTTTACATCACATGTATCGGGCTTTGTTTATATATTTACTTTTAAATTATTTCTTCACTAGCTGACCAGTTACTGTAAAAGAATCTGTAGCCTCACTGAGTGGTTTGGGGATAGGCATGGTGTGTATTTTCTGTGATACATCCTCCCGGTGAAGCTCATCGCTGGCAGGTGAAAAGAAGCAGCAGGTGACGTCACATGGTGGCAAAGGACCACAGTGTGAGAATTACACATTCAACATGGGAAAAAACAAGGATTAAATCGAGTTAAAAAGCCAGTCAGGGAGGTTTTAGGTATCCAAAATAATAGGCTGATGGCACTATGTTAATTTTATTACAATATGTTGTGCTGTTGTTGCTGGATCACCATTTCACTGACATACTGTGACAATGTTAAATCTCTTTTTTAATTTCAGTTGACCACTGTGGAGAACACCCAAACGTTCCAAACAGTGATGTTGTACAAGTGAATCGAATGTCTTTGAAATACCAATGTAATTCCTTTTACACACAAGTCGGTTCAGACACCGTGACGTGTTACAGTGATGGCAGTTGGTCAGACCTTCCCATCTGCAAAGGTTTAAACAAGTCAATATCACAATTTTTCATTCTCAAAGTCTATCAAAGATGTTATACCACATAATTACATATATGTGGGTTTTTTTGTATTACTTTTGTGCAGAGGCATTCTGTGTCGTGGATCATACTAGATATCGTTGGGACAACTTTCAACTATCTGGAGTTGAATATATCAAAGACGGAGAGAAAAAGACATTTCCATGCACTTATCCTTCTAATTGGAGCAGGGTTTTTCAGTGCATTAATGGAAGAATACATTATACAAGCTGTAAGTATATACGTAAGCTCTTCACATATTTATTTGCCACTAAACTTTTAGTTTCAACCTTTTTATTGTCAACTACTATGTTTATGAATATGAACTAAAGTGATTTAGATATGAATCATTTTCAGTGTGATAGTTTCAAAAAGAAGAAAAAGGAAAAGAATAAAAGGAAAAAAGAACACCAAGAACGGAAACCTGAGTATTTAGAAAATAAGCCTGGCATTACTCTATAGTTTTCTTATTGTCAACAAATCCCATGAAAAGAACCAAACATGTCCGACTGGACTGGCACTCTTGCAGCTTGCCCCTGAGGATAAGAACATTTCTTCTTATCGAAACAGCAAAAAGCCAAACTTTTCCAACTATATGTCTCCATATCCAGCTCTCCAGCCAGCTTCTCATATCCCCATACTCCAGTTAGTTCACCCAGTGCTTTCTCATGTCATCACACCACCCACCAACAGCAGAGCTGCTCCAACCTTCTTCACTCAAATACCTTCTCCCTTTGTGTCTAATATGTCTCATCTCTTTTCTTTATTTAAACACATTCATAGCATCCTTTCCTCTTCACTTTTCAGCCACCACTAATACTGCTCCTTTGGCTCCTTCAGCCTCGTCTTCCTCCTCTGTAAAATTAAACGTTTCTGTTCATAACGCCTCAACAGCATCAAGCCATGGAGTTTTCTCCACCCAACATTTTCTATTGTCACCTGTCTCATCTTTTATCTCCTTACTCTCCAAAACCACAGCACATTTTCCTTCCCTACATTGCCTTCCATCGTTGACCCTTTCCTAATGCAAACTCTGTGGCCAACAGCTATTTCCCTTTAGCCTCCGCCATGCCCCCAGTTTGCACCATTTCAGCCACTCGACCCTCTTCTGTTTGACCGTGTTAGATCCAGCTGCCCCACAACCCTACGACACACGGTTTGTGAACAGCAAAATATCTCAAACACTAATAAAAATGGGTATCTTGTCATGGAATTTGTCTACAGTAGGAATATATAGAATAACACCAGTCTTGTCCTATAAGAACAGAACAGATTTTCCTCAGTAGGTGCAGCTAAGCAGAAATGTAGTGAATCAGCCATCAGTAACAAATGTTTGTGTGAATTAAACTACCTACTGAAATATTCACTGCTGTGCTGCTGTTGGATTCTTTTAGGTTGTCATTATTATGACATTCAACGGGTAAGTGTTATTCTTGGATTTACTTTTTTAAAGAATGTAATTACTGTTAAATTGTTTATTTATTGTTGGACAATACTTTATTTGAACTTTATCCTGCAATTTAATACCATGTTAATATTGATGAATTAGCTATTAACATTATTGCTTATTGTCTGTGTTGTAAACAGGGTTTATGCCGATAAAGCACAAGAGAAGAACAACTGCTGGGCTGACAACAAAAGCCAAGTTGGAAACTTTTGAAATACCTCCACCATAAAACAACTACGCCCAAAAACATGTTGTCTCAATTGTATTTGATTTTTTTAAAACTTCATGCACTAATAACATGATCAATATTTTGACTGTATAAGGGTCATATGGCCTACAGTAATCTGAATTAAATGTTCACTAGAAATCTTAACAGAGATCTTTGTATTATTTTGTCTACACATTGTTCAGAACAGTCCTTCCTCTCTGCAAGCACTAGTTCTTCTTATATTATCATACTTGAGACAGCATTAATACAAACTCTTGACAAAATCCATTGTCAGTTTAAGTGCTTCATGGTGGGGTCATCATAATCAAATAAAATAAAAAACACAACTGTCCAAAGCTATTTACAGCATCTGAAGCTGCATGTTTGAAATGCAACATGTTGCTGCCTAACCGACACTGATGTAGAAGTGCAATACATGATGGTTCATTGACAGAATAATAAAATAAAGAACATACAGTACATCTAAGGCTGATGAGAACGTCTTTAGTTCTGCAGGTATTTAGTTATGAACCAAATAATTGGGCAAATTAAATGACGGCACTAGTTCTAACAAAGTTACCCTGACAAGAACATGAATGTGTGCACCAAATTACACCGCAATCTATCAGATAGTTGTAGAGATATTTAATTGTGGACCAAAGTGGTGATGAACCAATGACCATGCTGCTAGCATGGCTAAACAGGATCAGGAGTTTATGCAAACTTGTTCAGGTAGTGTTATTTGTAACTGCAATAGTGGTGACTGTGTAGATCGTTTGTCATTGCACACAGAAAATGTGGTGACCTATGGATTCCATCTACAAACATTTTATCTACAATAAGTTAAGTTAACTTGTTTAAATTTCAAGATAGTTAACTGTAAGAGTGCAACTTGTCACTGAATTCATAGACTTCAGTTTCACACAGTGTGAGCAGATGGAGGTAATTTACTCAAACTGTCCCTGATGATGTTCCGATGCACAGGTTTTGTTTATATTGTGTAAATAAAATGTAATGAACCTTCTATGACAAAGTATTTGCTCTGAATAGCTTTGCTCTTACAATGTGGTAAACTGACATTTTAGAGATTATCAGATTTAAACTTGTAACATGCGTTACCTAAACCTGTTTGACTGCAATGCTCTTGGCTAGTTGAGTCTTACTCTCACATAATGGTTGATTATCCATGTAGATCTGGATGTTCTGAAGGTTTGTGTTCTCAGAAGCAATCAAGGACAAATATGTGTTTTTAGATCATCTGTTAATCAGAATCTGTTAATCAGAAGAAGTGAAGGCCAGGCTACATAAATAACTAAATCAGTGCAGGCAGACGACTGACCTCTGATCAGAGCAGTCCAGTAAAACATTTTGAAATTTGGACAAATACTCAAATAGATTTTTGTAGAGAGTTTCATAACAAATAAACCATAGAGATTCTGGTACTCTGGGACAAATTAATCATTATGACAGGCATTTTCCAAACAAATGTGGAATTAACAAATGACGTATTTGCCCTAAGTAATTAATAATAAGTTACATGTAATTATGTCTATTGTTATGCAACTAGTCAACAAAGCAAATGTGTAAAACTACATGGCAAATAAAGCAGTTACTGATTCTAAATCTGATTCTGAAGCCCGGGGCTTTCTGTATGCTGAAGAAGAGGAAAAAGATGATATGAGAGTAGTTTTCTCCTTTTCTGTAGGTGTGTGTGTACATGCAGCCTATTTGTCCATCTCTCCTTCGGCTCCAGAACAACAGCATGATGCCTGTGTGTTTACTTGACAAACTTTCTGGGAGAAGGCCCCCAACAATTATTAACTGGTTCTGATCTGGACTAAGCTCTCAGATTTACTGTGTCGTGGGATGATTTCATTCCTGACAAAATGAACATCAGATATCTTGGATTAGTTCTGATTTGGTTTCCAGGAGTGCTTCATGGTAAGAACATTAAATACTTTGACATCCAACCATTTAAGTTTGTTAAAAACAAATGCAGTGACTGTAGAGTAATTTTGCTTACTATTGTATTTTAGCACAAAGCGCTGCACAGTCCTGTAGTGCTCCTAAACTGGATGGTGGTTTCTTTGCCCCAAAGCAAGAGACTTATTCTCATGGAACGGAGCTCAGTTATACCTGTGATACTGGTCGTAAACCTGTGGTGAAGGGATGGTGGGCAACAAGCACATGTCAAACTGGAAAATGGTCTCATACACCACAGTGTATAGGTAAGTGTTCCCTCTGCTGTTTTACTTTGTCCACATGGTTGCTCCGTCACTCTATGAATGGCAAAGTCAGTCTGTCGGCCGTGCACTACTTTGATCCAGACTGAAATACTGAACGTGTTGGATTGATTGCAATGACATTTGGTCTAGACATTCATGTTGCCCTCGGGATTATGAATTGTAATAACTTGGCTTAATTTTCATCTATATTATTTAATTTAACTTTAATCATATATCCATAATCAAGGCAGTGGAGCATTCCCTTTAGCAGCCAATATATAATAAGTCCTTGGAGGAATATTCATGCAAATAATTGCAGAAATATTTTAAACATAAACATTTACAAATAGAGGTGGTATTATGTTTTTTGGCTTTTTCTCTCTCCTTTTATTGAGATATATCTATTTTTTGTGCACGTTAACAGGTTTGCAAAGTGAAAAAGCCCAAAGTCCAGCACAAAGGGAGTTCCCATCTCCCACAGAAAGCTCTGCTCTGAACCGTTTGAAAACAGCTTGTTTGTAGTCCAGCCCTTCACTTCCTTCACTGTGACGTCACAATGAAAACGCGTCATAAAGCTTGCCAAGCGGCTAGCGGGGTCAGGCACACCCTCAAACCAAGCTAGTCTGAGCAGAGGCCCTTTGGCTTGACTCGCCTTTGTTTGGTTTTCCATTGTAGAAATGTTGCACCTGCTTCCATGTACTTTTTTTCACATCACATCACCTCTGTCGAGGTTCCAAGCGAGCTGAGGGAAACTAAAATGTAACGTGAAAACACGACAGACTGCTGACCGGTCAGAGAGAATATTCACTATTCACTGCATCATCATTGCTGCACCAGACAGAGGCCAGCAACAGAAAGTTTTATATTTTACTGATATTAAAAGTCATTGCATATTGATGGTAAAAATATGGTGATGTATTTTTGTTAAAAACTGTTGTATGTTGCACATATGTTGTATGATAAATAACTTAAAGATAATGTTTAGTTAAAGACATGTTATGAAGAGTTCATGGGTTGTATATGCAAGTTGTAAATCTGTGGTAATTGTGCTGGAGTCTTAAGAGTGGGTTTTCATTGGTTGATGCCAGTGGGCATGATAGGAGGAGCATCATGGGCATCGACACTTCACTCCAGCAGACAGTGACTGACGGTAGACACATCACAAAAAACTCACAGAAGTGCACCAGTTATCAGGCACTCCTTTATTTTATTTTCCTGCTCATAAACGACCAATTGCTTTTGGGTCTCAACGTACACGAGCCACGCATCAGGCCTGCAACGTTGTTTGAAGTGGTTTTGCCAGCTGTATGTGAGAGTGTTATAGTGTGGTGAACTGTGGTATTGTTATCTTGCAACAGAACTACTGAATTACCGCAGATCTTGTGTGAAACGAGTGATTGTTTATTTTGCATTTATTTTATTTTTCTAAAGAATAAGAGAACTTTAATCATATAGTAGAGTGGTGTTGATTATTTTATCTGAAAGCCAGTTATCATATCTGAGTTTCACATTTTGACTACAAGGGAAGCTAAGATAGTTGACGCCGGGTTTCAGTGTTGATGTTAAGAAACAATATTCTAAAAGAACTCGGGGCCCTGCCCAAACTTACTTTCTAGAGGGTAGGAGCGCTACACTTGTTTCTTACGACCCGCACTTCTCTGCTTCTGATTGGCTAGTAGTCCTTACCTGGGAACTGCGCATGTGCAACTCCCAACAAAGATTTTGTACAAGTAAGATGCATCCCTCTGTAGCTCAAGAGCGGAGCGTACAACACATAGGGTGAAAAGAGGAGCTGCAGCAATGTGCAGTATGAGAAGAATATGGTGTTTTTTGAAAGTTGAACCATGTAAACCTGTTCTGGTACAACCCCTACTTAAGATTTTGAACCTGAAAATGAGCATAATACCACCTTTTTAAAGGGTCAGTGTGTAAGAATCAGTGGTTCTTCCAACTTCAGTGTGTGTTCATGTGCTCTTAAGTTGGAATGTGGACTCAACATGGATTCCACATTCTCTCCAGCGCTCTCTAGAGCCTTTTGTCCATTTGGGCTACTGTTGGAACATGGCGCCGTCCATGTTAGAGGACCCGCGGTGTACGTAGGTAGAAATGGCTCATTGTAAGGTAATAAAAACATTAACGGTTCCTTATATCGCCCTGCGATGGACTGCCAACCTGTCCAGGGTATAACCCGCCTTTCGCCCGATGTCAGCTGGGACCCTGTATGCAGGATAAGTGTTTGACGATGGATGGATGGATGGATTCATTATATCATATCTTTGTACACTACTGAAAACATAGTTATATATATTATATTGTTTTTCTGTCAATAGATCCTCCTAAATATGACATACTGAACCTTTAAAGACTGACACCATGGTAAAAATGTGTTGTTTTCTTTTCCTCAGACGAAGCAGCGTGCCTTCCACCGGAGATGCCAAATGCAAAATACACAGAAAACCAAAATGGTTGGTATGAGGACGGACACATTATTAGGATAACATGTGACAAAGGATATGAACCCAAAGGCCAGGATGTCACAGCCATATGTATAAATGGAGCGTGGTCCTCTGTGCCGGTCTGTGAGAGTAAGTCTGTCAGATGTTCTATACCAGTAAGCTGTGAAACTAACAGAGACCAGAATAATATCAGTGCTGTAATTCTTAGGTTTAAATTCTCACCAGTTGCACCAACCAAGCCACACATCTGAGCACCTTTACCTGTTGATGACTAATGGGTTTATTTTTACAGAAAGTATCCTTGCATGCGGTGAACCTCCTAAAATCCCCCATGCAGTCATCATTCATCAGAGATACCAGGAGATGTTTGCTGTAGATTCAGAAGTGCAGTATGAATGTGAAGATGGATATACTGTAGAGGGAGCAGAAAAATCCATCTTTTGCATAGCTGGAACTTGGACTAAAGGACCACCGTGCAGTAAGTGGACAATGTGCTGAGAGATGCACTAATCATTTGACCCCCTGAACAGCAATTGTCCAACTGTAGATTAGAAAAAAAATATCTCAGCTGGCTAGCTTTTAGGCAGACAAAATACCATGTGCACTAGAAAGCAAAATCAGACTACTATGTAAATAGTTTACTTGAATGTAATGGGGCAAAGTTTTGGAAAACAGTGAAATCCCTGTTGAAGGATTTACTGAAGAAAGAACAGACATAAAAAAACAACATTATTGTTGATGCTTTTAATAGCCACTTTCTTAGATCAAGTAATCTCTTTGATAAATTGTCCACTACTACTTAACAAGATGATAGCTGGATACAAAAAACATATGACAAGATTTTGCAATAAAACCATTTCATGACAATTAAGTCCTAGATGCCTTAATTACTATAAATGCTAGGAAATCAGCTGGTCGAGACAAATTGGATCCATGCCTGCTGGTCAGGGCAGCGCCTTTTATCTCAAGGCCATTAACGCATATTTTTAATCTAACTGTGTCAACTGGAATCTTGCATGTCCATCTTGCATCTTGCAAACTGTGCATGTGCTCACTCTTCAAAATGGAGGAGACACTAGAGTACTTGATAATTATCGACCTATTTCAAAGCTGTCTTGCCTGGCTAAAATTCTGCAGTCTAAATAGACAGCTTTGTTCTTTTTTAACTGAATGTAGCTTACTGAACAAATACCAGTCGGGTTTTAGACCTGGCCACAGTACTATTACAGCGGCCACACTGGCTGTAGATGATATTGTCAAGAGCTTGGATGCTAAACTAACTTGTGTTTTATTTATTTACCTGTCCAAGGCTTTTTGACACCGTTAATCACTCTGTTCTCTAAGAATATTATTCACAGGCTTAGTAAATATCATAGTAATAAATAGCTATACTAACTTAATAATATAATAATAATAATCTTTATTTGTAGAGCACTTTTCAAAAACGAGTTACAAAGTGCTTTAACAAGTGTAAAGACAATAATACCCCAAAAAACAATACAAAAACAATACAAGATAAAGAAAAGAAAAGACTAAAATAAATAAAAAAGATAAATATAAAATTAGTAAAATAGAATAAAATAAAACGGATAAAATAAAGTCAAATAAGATTGGGAAATGCTCTCCTATAACACTGTGTTTTAAGAAGGGACTTAAAAGAGTTCACTGAATCAGCTGACCTGATTTCCTCGGGCAGACTGTTCCAGAGCCTCGGGGCCCTGACAACAAACGCTCTGTCCCCTTTAGTTTTCAGTCGAGACTCTGGAACAGATAGCAGACCTCTGCCCGAGGATCTCAAGGTATGTGCTGGTGTGCATGGGACTAAAAGGTCAGAAATATAACAAGGCGAGAGGCCATGAAGAGCTTTAAAAGTGATCAATAGAATTTTAAAGTCAATTCTAAAACATACTGGGAGCCAGTGTAATGAAGCTAAAATAGGAGTAATGTGGTCATATTTCTTTGTTCTGGTTAAAAGCCTGGCAGCTGAGTTCTGGACAGTCTGGAGTCGATCAATAGATTTCTGGGTTAAACAGGTGAAAAGGCTGTTGCAATAATCTAGGCGTGATGAGATGAAGGCGTGTAAAATGGTCTCAGTGTCCTTAAAAGTTAACATAGATTGAATTTTTGCTATATTTCTAAGTTGATAAAAACATGATTGAACAAGCTTTGTGGTGTGCTGCTTGAAATTTAAATTACTATCAAACCAAACTCCAAGGTTCTTTGCCACAGGCTTAATGTGATTTACTAGGGAACCAGCAGATGGCAAAACAAATACTGCCAATACTGTGAACTCAGCATTCCAGGGACTGTGGATCTGATGGGCAAGTATATTTGTGTGTCATCAGCATAAATATGAAAAGAAATTCCATGTTTATGGATAATATGTCCAAGGGGAAGCAGATACAAGGAAAACAAAATGGGTCCTAAGACCGACCCCTGAGGCACACCATATTTAACTGGACAGAACGAAGAGACATAGTTGTTTACAGACACGCAAAACTTCCTATTTGACAGGTAGGATGAAAACCATTCTAGCACCGTACCAGAGATCCCCACCCAGTGCCTCAGTCTGTCAAAAGCAGTGCTAAGGTCCAGGAGTACCAGGACTGAGCACATGCCTTCATCAGCAGACATTAAAAGGTCATTGGTGACTTTAAGCAGGGCAGTCTCAGTGCTGTGGTACTTCCTGAAACCAGATTGAAACTTTTCAAATAATTTGTTATTTTCCAGTACAGTGAGCAGCTGTTTGGACACAATTCTTTCTAGAATCTTTGCAATAAAAGGCAGTTTTGAAAATGGTCTAAAATTTTGTGGTAGGGAGGGATCTAAACCAGGTTTCTTTAAAAGTGGGTTCACGCAAGCCGTTTTAAAATAATCAGGGACACAACCAGTAGATAGGGAATAAAATAAAAGAGCTCCTGCAGGCTGCACGAAAACTTAGGGCGAACAGCATGAGCAGATGATGATCTAGACTTAGAGTAACATGTGACCAAGGATATGAACCCAAAGGCCAGCAAGTCACCATATGTAGAAGTGGAACATGGTCCTCTGTGCCGGTCTGTGAGAGTAAGTCTGCTGTACCAGTAAGCTGTAAAACTAACCAGAATAATTACTGTGCAACATTATACCGTATACTGTATTTATCAAGTCAACAGGTAAAATACGCAGAACGATTTTAGTTGACATTACAGAATAACTTACGTTTCTTGGAGGAGCCAGACCAACTATTGAACATGGTGGATCCACAGTGGGAACAACAGGTTGGGAGGACACTGAACAAGGTGGGGGAACAAAACCTGGGGGTTTATTTGTCTGTATTAAATATAAATGAGTATATTCATTTATTTAATTCCATTTTAGAATATGTATATATTGTATATCTAATTTATTTTCTTATTCCCACTTAGGCAGAGGAACTGAAACAGGTGCCGTAGGAGGTAGATTATTGACATTGATTGTATTATAGAAGATATATATATATATATATACTGTATATTATTGTAAATTTAATAATCATTGATTTAAAGGTTAATCTACTTTACATTAAAATCTTTAATTTTCAAAAAGAATAATGGGGAAATTGTTTTGACATTACTCTGAATCAGAAAGAAAAAGAGTCCAAATAACATGCTGAAGTGTTACTAACTGGTGTGTCTTCTGTTCTGTGTGTATACCTTTATCTCCTCTGCATCTTACAGGATCTTCTGCCACCTCTGGCTCAAATGACAGAGACAGTCAACGTGCATTCATGTCAAGTAAATCATTCAGATCAAATGCTCCTTTTACATCACATGTATCGGGCTTTGTTTATATATTTACTTTTAAATTATTTCTTCACTAGCTGACCAGTTACTGTAAAAGAATCTGTAGCCTCACTGAGTGGTTTGGGGATAGGCATGGTGTGTATTTTCTGTGATACATCCTCCCGGTGAAGCTCATCGCTGGCAGGTGAAAAGAAGCAGCAGGTGACGTCACATGGTGGCAAAGGACCACAGTGTGAGAATTACACATTCAACATGGGAAAAAACAAGGATTAAATCGAGTTAAAAAGCCAGTCAGGGAGGTTTTAGGTATCCAAAATAATAGGCTGATGGCACTATGTTAATTTTATTACAATATGTTGTGCTGTTGTTGCTGGATCACCATTTCACTGACATACTGTGACAATGTTAAATCTCTTTTTTAATTTCAGTTGACCACTGTGGAGAACACCCAAACGTTCCAAACAGTGATGTTGTACAAGTGAATCGAATGTCTTTGAAATACCAATGTAATGCCTTTTACACACAAGTCGGTTCAGACACCGTGACGTGTTACAGTGATGGCAGTTGGTCAGACCTTCCCATCTGCAAAGGTTTAAACAAGTCAATATCACAATTTTTCATTCTCAAAGTCTATCAAAGATGTTATACCACATAATTACATATATGTGTTTTTTTTTGTATTACTTTTGTGCAGAGGCATTCTGTGTCGTGGATCATACTAGACATCGTTGGGACAACTTTCAACTATCTGGAGTTGAATATATCAAGGAAGGAGAGAAAAAGACATTTCCATGCATTTATTCTTCTTGGAGCAGGGTTTTTCAGTGCATTAATGGAAGAATACATTATACAAGCTGTAAGTATATACGTAAGCTCTTCACATATTTATTTGCCACTAAACTTTTAGTTTCAACCTTTTTATTGTCAACTACTATGTTTATGAATATGAACTAAAGTGATTTAGATATGAATCATTTTCAGTGTGATAGTTTCAAAAAGAAGAAAAAGGAAAAGAATAAAAGGAAAAAAGAACACCAAGAACGGAAACCTGAGTATTTAGAAAATAAGCCTGGCATTACTCTATAGTTTTCTTATTGTCAACAAATCCCATGAAAAGAACCAAACATGTCCGACTGGACTGGCACTCTTGCAGCTTGCCCCTGAGGATAAGAACATTTCTTCTTATCGAAACAGCAAAAAGCCAAACTTTTCCAACTATATGTCTCCATATCCAGCACTCCAGCCAGCTTCTCATATCCCCATACTCCAGTTAGTTCACCCAGTGCTTTCTCATGTCATCACACCACCCACCAACAGCAGAGCTGCTCCAACCTTCTTCACTCAAATACCTTCTCCCTTTGTGTCTAATATGTCTCATCTCTTTTCTTTATTTAAACACATTCATAGCATCCTTTCCTCTTCACTTTTCAGCCACCACTAATACTGCTCCTTTGGCTCCTTCAGCCTCGTCTTCCTCCTCTGTAAAATTAAACGTTTCTGTTCATAACGCCTCAACAGCATCAAGCCATGGAGTTTTCTCCACCCAACATTTTCTATTGTCACCTGTCTCATCTTTTATCTCCTTACTCTCCAAAACCACAGCACATTTTCCTTCCCTACATTGCCTTCCATCGTTGACCCTTTCCTAATGCAAACTCTGTGGCCAACAGCTATTTCCCTTTAGCCTCCGCCATGCCCCCAGTTTGCACCATTTCAGCCACTCGACCCTCTTCTGTTTGACCGTGTTAGATCCAGCTGCCCCACAACCCTACGACACACGGTTTGTGAACAGCAAAATATCTCAAACACTAATAAAAATGGGTATCTTGTCATGGAATTTGTCTACAGTAGGAATATATAGAATAACACCAGTCTTGTCCTATAAGAACAGAACAGATTTTCCTCAGTAGGTGCAGCTAAGCAGAAATGTAGTGAATCAGCCATCAGTAACAAATGTTTGTGTGAATTAAACTACCTACTGAAATATTCACTGCTGTGCTGCTGTTGGATTCTTTTAGGTTGTCATTATTATGACATTCAACGGGTAAGTGTTATTCTTGGATTTACTTTTTTAAAGAATGTAATTACTGTTAAATTGTTTATTTATTGTTGGACAATACTTTATTTGAACTTTATCCTGCAATTTAATACCATGTTAATATTGATGAATTAGCTATTAACATTATTGCTTATTGTCTGTGTTGTAACCCAGGGATTATGCCAGTAAAGCACAAGAGAAGAACAACTGCTGGGCTGACAACAAAAGCCAAGTTGGAAACTTTTGAAATACCTCCACCATAAAACAACTACGCCCAAAAACATGTTGTCTCAATTGATTTTTTTAAAACTTCATGCACTAATAACATGATCAATATTTTGACTGTATAAGGGTCATATGGCCTACAGTAATCTGAATTAAATGTTCACTAGAAATCTTAACAGAGATCTTTGTATTATTTTGTCTACACATTGTTCAGAACAGTCCTTCCTCTCTGCAAGCACTAGTTCTTCTTATATTATCATACTTGAGACAGCATTAATACAAACTCTTGACAAAATCCATTGTCAGTTTAAGTGCTTCATGGTGGGGTCATCATAATCAAATAAAATAAAAAACACAACTGTCCAAAGCTATTTACAGCATCTGAAGCTGCATGTTTGAAATGCAACATGTTGCTGCCTAACCGACACTGATGTAGAAGTGCAATACATGATGGTTCATTGACAGAATAATAAAATAAAGAACATACAGTACATCTAAGGCTGATGAGAACGTCTTTAGTTCTGCAGGTATTTAGTTATGAACCAAATAATTGGGCAAATTAAATGACGGCACTAGTTCTAACAAAGTTACCCTGACAAGAACATGAATGTGTGCACCAAATTACACCGCAATCTATCAGATAGTTGTAGAGATATTTAATTGTGGACCAAAGTGGTGATGAACCAATGACCATGCTGCTAGCATGGCTAAACAGGATCAGGAGTTTATGCAAACTTGTTCAGGTAGTGTTATTTGTAACTGCAATAGTGGTGACTGTGTAGATCGTTTGTCATTGCACACAGAAAATGTGGTGACCTATGGATTCCATCTACAAACATTTTATCTACAATAAGTTAAGTTAACTTGTTTAAATTTCAAGATAGTTAACTGTAAGAGTGCAACTTGTCACTGAATTCATAGACTTCAGTTTCACACAGTGTGAGCAGATGGAGGTAATTTACTCAAACTGTCCCTGATGATGTTCCGATGCACAGGTTTTGTTTATATTGTGTAAATAAAATGTAATGAACCTTCTATGACAAAGTATTTGCTCTGAATAGCTTTGCTCTTACAATGTGGTAAGCTGACATTTTAGAGATTATCAGATTTAAACTTGTAACATGCGTTACCTAAACCTGTTTGACTGCAATGCTCTTGGCTAGTTGAGTCTTACTCTCACATAATGGTTGATTATCCATGTAGATCTGGATGTTCTGAAGGTTTGTGTTCTCAGAAGCAATCAAGGACAAATATGTGTTTTTAGATCATCTGTTAATCAGAATCTGTTAATCAGAAGAAGTGAAGGCCAGGCTACATAAATAACTAAATCAGTGCAGGCAGACGACTGACCTCTGATCAGAGCAGTCCAGTAAAACATTTTGAAATTTGGACAAATACTCAAATAGATTTTTGTAGAGAGTTTCATAACAAATAAACCATAGAGATTCTGGTACTCTGGGACAAATTAATCATTATGACAGGCATTTTCCAAACAAATGTGGAATTAACAAATGACGTATTTGCCCTAAGTAATTAATAATAAGTTACATGTAATTATGTCTATTGTTATGCAACTAGTCAACAAAGCAAATGTGTAAAACTACATGGCAAATAAAGCAGTTACTGATTCTAAATCTGATTCTGAAGCCCGGGGCTTTCTGTATGCTGAAGAAGAGGAAAAAGATGATATGAGAGTAGTTTTCTCCTTTTCTGTAGGTGTGTGTGTACATGCAGCCTATTTGTCCATCTCTCCTTCGGCTCCAGAACAACAGCATGATGCCTGTGTGTTTACTTGACAAACTTTCTGGGAGAAGGCCCCCAACAATTATTAACTGGTTCTGATCTGGACTAAGCTCTCAGATTTACTGTGTCGTGGGATGATTTCATTCCTGACAAAATGAACATCAGATATCTTGGATTAGTTCTGATTTGGTTTCCAGGAGTGCTTCATGGTAAGAACATTAAATACTTTGACATCCAACCATTTAAGTTTGTTAAAAACAAATGCAGTGACTGTAGAGTAATTTTGCTTACTATTGTATTTTAGCACAAAGCGCTGCACAGTCCTGTAGTGCTCCTAAACTGGATGGTGGTTTCTTTGCCCCAAAGCAAGAGACTTATTCTCATGGAACGGAGCTCAGTTATACCTGTGATACTGGTCGTAAACCTGTGGTGAAGGGATGGTGGGCAACAAGCACATGTCAAACTGGAAAATGGTCTCATACACCACAGTGTATAGGTAAGTGTTCCCTCTGCTGTTTTACTTTGTCCACATGGTTGCTCCGTCACTCTATGAATGGCAAAGTCAGTCTGTCGGCCGTGCACTACTTTGATCCAGACTGAAATACTGAACGTGTTGGATTGATTGCAATGACATTTGGTCTAGACATTCATGTTGCCCTCGGGATTATGAATTGTAATAACTTGGCTTAATTTTCATCTATATTATTTAATTTAACTTTAATCATATATCCATAATCAAGGCAGTGGAGCATTCCCTTTAGCAGCCAATATATAATAAGTCCTTGGAGGAATATTCATGCAAATAATTGCAGAAATATTTTAAACATAAACATTTACAAATAGAGGTGGTATTATGTTTTTTGGCTTTTTCTCTCTCCTTTTATTGAGATATATCTATTTTTTGTGCACGTTAACAGGTTTGCAAAGTGAAAAAGCCCAAAGTCCAGCACAAAGGGAGTTCCCATCTCCCACAGAAAGCTCTGCTCTGAACCGTTTGAAAACAGCTTGTTTGTAGTCCAGCCCTTCACTTCCTTCACTGTGACGTCACAATGAAAACGCGTCATAAAGCTTGCCAAGCGGCTAGCGGGGTCAGGCACACCCTCAAACCAAGCTAGTCTGAGCAGAGGCCCTTTGGCTTGACTCGCCTTTGTTTGGTTTTCCATTGTAGAAATGTTGCACCTGCTTCCATGTACTTTTTTTCACATCACATCACCTCTGTCGAGGTTCCAAGCGAGCTGAGGGAAACTAAAATGTAACGTGAAAACACGACAGACTGTTGTGGACTTGTGAGTAATATATAATAATAATAATAATGACTTTATTCAGGACTCAGAATGGAAGGTCCATAGCACACAGAAAAACCAAGACAAAACAACAACAGCTACAACGTAATAATAAATATACAGTACATAGATAAAAATTAATAAGTAACTTATACCATCTGCTAGGTTACGGTCGCAGTCTGAAGCGGCTTTGATTTGGATCACACTACCTAAATAGTATACTGATATTAAAAGTCATTGCATATTGATGGTAAAAATATGGTGATGTATTTTTGTTAAAAACTGTTGTATGTTGCACATATGTTGTATGATAAATAACTTAAAGATAATGTTTAGTTAAAGACATGTTATGAAGAGTTCATGGGTTGTATATGCAAGTTGTAAATCTGTGGTAATTGTGCTGGAGTCTTAAGAGTGGGTTTTCATTGGTTGATGCCAGTGGGCATGATAGGAGGAGCATCATGGGCATCGACACTTCACTCCAGCAGACAGTGACTGACGGTAGACACATCACAAAAAACTCACAGAAGTGCACCAGTTATCAGGCACTCCTTTATTTTATTTTCCTGCTCATAAACGACCAATTGCTTTTGGGTCTCAACGTACACGAGCCACGCATCAGGCCTGCAACGTTGTTTGAAGTGGTTTTGCCAGCTGTATGTGAGAGTGTTATAGTGTGGTGAACTGTGGTATTGTTATCTTGCAACAGAACTACTGAATTACCGCAGATCTTGTGTGAAACGAGTGATTGTTTATTTTGCATTTATTTTATTTTTCTAAAGAATAAGAGAACTTTAATCATATAGTAGAGTGGTGTTGATTATTTTATCTGAAAGCCAGTTATCATATCTGAGTTTCACATTTTGACTACAAGGGAAGCTAAGATAGTTGACGCCGGGTTTCAGTGTTGATGTTAAGAAACAATATTCTAAAAGAACTCGGGGCCCTGCCCAAACTTACTTTCTAGAGGGTAGGAGCGCTACACTTGTTTCTTACGACCCGCACTTCTCTGCTTCTGATTGGCTAGTAGTCCTTACCTGGGAACAGCGCATGTGCAACTCCCAACAAAGATTTTGTACAAGTAAGATGCATCCCTCTGTAGCTCAAGAGCGGAGCGTACAACACATAGGGTGAAAAGAGGAGCTGCAGCAATGTGCAGTATGAGAAGAATATGGTGTTTTTTGAAAGTTGAACCATGTAAACCTGTTCTGGTACAACCCCTACTTAAGATTTTGAACCTGAAAATGAGCATAATACCACCTTTTTAAAGGGTCAGTGTGTAAGAATCAGTGGTTCTTCCAACTTCAGTGTGTGTTCATGTGCTCTTAAGTTGGAATGTGGACTCAACATGGATTCCACATTCTCTCCAGCGCTCTCTAGAGCCTTTTGTCCATTTGGGCTACTGTTGGAACATGGCGCCGTCCATGTTAGAGGACCCGCGGTGTACGTAGGTAGAAATGGCTCATTGTAAGGTAATAAAAACATTAACGGTTCCTTATATCGCCCTGTGATGGACTGCCAACCTGTCCAGGGTATAACCCGCCTTTCGCCCGATGTCAGCTGGGACCCTGTATGCAGGATAAGTGTTTGACGATGGATGGATGGATGGATTCATTATATCATATCTTTGTACACTACTGAAAACATAGTTATATATATTATATTGTTTTTCTGTCAATAGATCCTCCTAAATATGACACACTGAACCTTTAAAGACTGACACCATGGTAAAAATGTGTTGTTTTCTTTTCCTCAGACGAAGCAGCGTGCCTTCCACCGGAGATGCCAAATGCAAAATACACAGAAAACCAAAATGGTTGGTATGAGGACGGACACATGATTAGGATAACATGTGAAAAAGGATATGAACCCAAAGACCAGGATGTCACAGCCATATGTAGAAGTGGAACGTGGTCCTCTGTGTCGGTCTGTGAGAGTAAGTCTGTCAGATGTTCTATACCAGTAAGCTGTGAAACTAACAGAGACCAGAATAATATCAGTGCTGTTAATTCTTAGGCTTGAATTCTCACCAGCTGCAACAACCAAGTAACCACTCACATGACAGTGTGCTTATTTTTACAGGAAGTATCCAGGTTTGCGGTGAGCCTCCTAAAATCCCCCATGCAGTCATCATTGATCAGGAATACCAGGAGG